CGATCACAGTGTGTGCAAACATCTGTTGAAACAGACCCAAGCATCGAGCCAGAGCTCTATTTTGAATTCTTCAAGGAGACCCTTAGTTTAAAGTCATTTAATACAGAGTAAAATGCAAACATTAAACCAGTTAGAAAAAATATGCGTTGCTCAAATACCTGGTTTCCAAACAGGTTGAAGCCATTGATGGCCTCCAGAGCAGCTTTAGCAAGGCCCACCGAGCTGCAATGAGGAGAAACACTGAGCGTTACAGAAAGCAAACAATGTTAAGGAACACTGGCTGAAGGAATCTGTTAGATTTAGTAAAGCAATAACCTATATTTGATTGCATCTTTGAATTATTCCATTTGCATTCATGAAATTCTGCCTGATTCACATCCTGTGAAATCTGTCAAAGATTAATAAAGCTGGATGTTCTGCAGTCTATTGCAAATAATGCAAAGAGAAGGAAAGAATATAGCAGTGAATTTCACAGTGACTGACCACTTTGATTGCAATGCAGATAAAAAAAAACCAAAACAATTCACTGCTGATTCCCTCTTTCACCCAGTCTAGATTGCCCCGTAAATAGAATTAGGTGAGAAACTTGGAGGAAAAGCATGACTTTAATATCTTTGGGGATGTTTCAGAAATGTATTCAGTATCATTGGAGAACATTAGATGAGTTCTAGAAATAGAATCAGATAAGTTTTAGGCCATCATTTTATAAACAAGCTGTTTATTCTGTTCTCAGACGGATGCAAACAAGCACAAAACCTTTGATCAGGCTGAAAAATTAAAAGAAAAATGACAGCTATGTCCAGCAGAATAAATATGCATCGTAGGGACTAATAGACCAGCGCAATCATCCTTCAACCAAGCAGGACAAGCATGTGCTTAAAACATTACAGCAGGATCAAATGCAAGGTCAAATTTGAGCTAAAGAGGAACGTTACTTGTTAGCACACATTAACTTTTTCAGACAGTTTTTTTTAATTATCAAAGTGACAGTCACTGATGCATACACCTTCATACATAGTCATTTCTGATGCCACAGACTCCTCCACATCCCTACATGTGGTTTGCTGTAAGTACCATATAATCTGGCATAACAGCAGCATCAGTAAGGTCACCCTCACCATAGTCCTTTAGACATGGCAGGATGACAGAGAGCTCAGAAAACCACATATCAGAGTCAAAGTAACCATTCCACTGCTGCACTCAGACTATTTGTAGAATACTACATCAGAAAAAGTAAGCCTACCGTACTGCTGCTGCTACTTGTGTCAGATCGCCTCTAGAATATTCTGGTCAATCAGTGGAAATGTTGCAAAGGTGTGAAAGGTTTTCTGTGTCCCTTCAACCAGATTCATTTTTATTTTGAAATCCTCACTTAACTCTTTTCTTTTTTTTCACGGCCAGTCTTAATGTGCAATTTGGAGCTGTGTGTACCTTTCTCCCCTGGCTTGTTACCCGTTCCACTGCCAGTACAATGCATAAAGTATCCATGGGCAGAAAACCTGGTTAACTATGGAGAGGAATACATTTTTATATTCCTGATGCAGCCAAGAAAGTCTCTCAAAAAACCTGCAAAAAGTTAACGTTTATTTTTATCCTTCTGCTGCAGTCTTTGCATGGTTCAAATGAGGCCTAACGGGTGTTTATATTTTAGAATCAAGTCACAAATAGGAAGCAATGTTCATAGTCTCAAAATAAAATAAGAGATAAATAACTGTTAGAAATATTTTATTTATACTGTTACTTTGTTTGTGTTTCATGGGTTGTGTTCTAATGAAATACTATGATGTATAATGTGTGATTCATCTTTTATTAACTCTTGCTTAAGATTGTTCCAGATAAAGGTCATGCAACGGACGGGCTGTGAAGGAGGCCTGAACATCCTCTATCACATGTTTCTTCTAAACATGTGTTCTTGGAACAACTCAATTGTAAAACAACCACATGCTTTGTTTTAACATATGTGCTGAGGTTTAAAGTAAGATCCTTTTGTTTCCCTTTCCCTTAGTTAAACCTCAGCTGGTGTAATTAGGGACATCCCCTTTTCTTCAATAAATAGCGAGGAGAAAGCTGAAGACTGCAGAGTGGGGTGGAGATTTGTAAACTCCGCAGTCTCTTCCTACTCTCCTCGCGAGTAACTAAATTAATTGTCTCTGTGCCTTCTTTCTTTCCCTGTATGTATGTATGTATGATGTTTTAGGTGCTTAGACCTGACAATAACCTTCCATAATTATTTCTTATTAGTAGAGAGCTGAGACATTTGGCCAAAAGTGGAAAAGATCATGTTATTAGGCCACTGGGGAGGCTGGGTAGATAAAAAAGGCGGTGGTTTTCTTGGAAACCATCTTGATAATCCGAATTTTATTATACATCAATGCCTTTCTGAAAAGATATAGATGCATTTTTTCCCCTAACCGTTTAGTCAATAACTGTGATTATAGGACTAACAGAATAGATAACTGAAATTATACACCCACTTTTTGGTGTTTTAATTAGAGTTGCACCGATGCCATTTTTTGGCCCAGATACCGATACCTGGCTGTGCAGTATTGGCTGATACCGATATCATACCAATACCATCTCTTTCAAATTGATATGTTCGTGTTTATATGAAGAATTACATACTACTTGGATGTAAAATAATTGCCATCATGGCTTTGTCAAGCTGCTGCCTACCTTTGAGAAAGGAAAAAGACTAATACAAAGTGAATCCAGTAGAACTTTTCATTGATTTTGTCTTTGGAGAATTTTTTTTTTTTTTTTTTTTTGATATTCTTTGTGAATAGTACTTGTACATTGGGATCAATGTTGTGGAATTAATAGGGTTCATCTACATTGGGACAGGGTACGTTTTTGTTTTCAATAGTTTACCATGAAAGTTCTTTTAAATATGTTGGAATAATTATTTATAAGTTACTTAATGTTTGTTCTTATGATGTATAATGTGTGACATATTACTGTTCCAGAGAGGTGTTGCACAAGCAGTATAGGTCAACTCTCAGGAAGTATTGCTCAAGCTTAACGAAACCAGGAGGTTCTCGGACCATTTGACCGCAAGACATTTAAATGCAAATTGACCCGTTTACTGAGGCTGCAAATAGAATTGCATTTCTTGTTTCCTATTCCTTTAGCGCAACCTCAGCTTGTGTAACTAGGGACCTCCCCTCTGACTTTAATAAATAGCGAGGAGAAGGCTGAAGACCGCCAGAGTGGGTTGCAGATTTGTAAACTCTGCAGTCTCTTCCTACTCTCTTTACGAGTAAAACTAAATTAATTGTCTCTTTGCCTTCTTCTTTCCCTTTATGTATGTATGATGTTTTAGGTGCTTAGACCTGACAAAATGCAATAACAGTGAGCAGCAGCCTTGATAATCTGGCAATCACACTTCACGCTTTCATATTCTTAGTAAGGCGTTGCTGTATTTATGTTCCTAGGCTACTGAAAGAAAAGGCAGATACCAAATAAAGTGCATCAGATTACATCTGATTCATTAAAACTTGAAACAATGCCCAGAAAGCTGCCCAGATTAGACATGCTATGTCAGTCAAATTATCCTTAATCTTAAATCTATTCAATAGATTAAATGTGATGATAAATGTTCTCGAGAGGCAAAAACTAGAAAGTCAAAGAGGCAAGAAACTCAAATAGTATTGAAATTATCTTTCCTCCAGGACATCTTGGCGAACAGTCTCTCAGAGAAAGAGAGATAATCCATGACAGAATCTGAGGATCTTTATCAAGACGTTAGGGGAGGAGAAGAAGTCTGTTTGACTTTGGAGGATAAGTTGAGGAAAAACAACAGAAGTTCACCGCCCCACGTCAGAACTGTGCATTTTCTTAGATGGAGGTTATTTGCTCACTGCTGAAGGTTACAGTGTTCACCAGCAGTGATAAAGTCACAATTATGGCTTCTTTTAATGATTCTATTCTCAAGCTTTTTGTGTTATATATATATTTCAATGCTTTTGCTTGTTTTGAGGTAAATAACATCTACAGAGAAAGCTCAGTTTGGCATGAAATCATTAAGATGTATAGTCATATCAACTTTTTCTATTTTGTAAAAATTTAAAAACAATCCACTGGACTTGGTTTCCGAGGTTTGAAGACGTTTCGCTTCCCCTCCAGGAAGGTTTCTCAATTCAAATGTCTGGATCCGCAGTGAGTTTGAGTCTTGACATACAAGGCCTTGAAACCTGTTTCAGATATTACAGGCTAACAATGGAACCAAACGACCCACTCGTCGGTTTCAATTTGCATGTGTCCAAGCAATACAAGGCCTTGTCTATATAAAGTCTCAAACTCACTGCGGATCCAGACATTTGAATTGAGAAAGCTTCCTGGAGAGGTGGAGAAACGTCTTCAAATCTTGGAAACCAAATCCAGTGGATTCTTTTTTTAAACTTTTACGGAATGACTATTACCTGGGTGACTGAGAATCTTCATCAGCAAATTTGTCTAGATAATTGTTTGGTAAGAGAAGAGCTAAGATTCCAAGATCTGACCTTGATTATAGTGCCCAAGCTGCTAAAGCACAACGGCATTGCTGAGGAGAAAATGTTTTTTGAGAACAAAGAGAAAGGAAAAACACACACTATATTTTGTATGCCATTATTAAATAATTTCATTGCATCTTCAAATTTGGTCTACAGCTTAAAACAAGTATTGTGATAACATGGTGACTGTCATGTTGAACAAAGCAGAGCAGGGGGCGGGGGGTTGGTTAGCTTTGTGTATATATGCATGTTAGCTTTTCAACAGCAATTTCATTGCTGAATGGCCAAGCTCTGTCTCATATCAGTCTGATTGTTCCTTATGTTCCTAAGAAAGCACTTTGCTCTCAGTCTGCTGGTTTCCCATGGCTCCTAGAATTTCTGAAAGTAGAATGGGAGGCAGATCTTTTATTTATCAGGCTCCTCTCCTGTGGAACCAACTACCAGTTTTAGTCTTTTCAAGGGGAGGCTTAAACTTTCCTTTTTGATAAAGCTTATAATTAGAGTGGCTCAGGTTGTCCTGAGCTACACTATATTGTCAAAAGTATTTGCTCACCCATCCAAATTATTGGAATCAGGTGTTCCAATCACTTCCATGGCCACAGGTGTATAAATTCAAGCACCTAGGCATGCAGACTGTTTTTACAAACATTTGTGAAAGAATGGGTCGCTCTCAGGAGCTCAGTGAATTCCAGCGTGGAACTGTGATAGGATGCCACCTGTGCAACAAATCCAGTCGTGAAATTTCCTCGCTCCTAAATATTCCACAGTCAACTGTCAGCTGTATTATAAGAAAATGGAAGTGTTTGGGAACGACAGCAACTCAGCCACGAAGTGGTAGGCCACGTAAACTGACGGAGCGGGGTCAGCGGATGCTGACGCGCATAGTGCGAAGAGGTCGCCAACTTTCTGCAGAGTCAATCACTACAGACCTCCAAACTTCATGTGGCCTTCAGATTAGCTCAAGAACAGTGCGCAGAGAGCTTCATGGAATGGGTTTCCATGGTCGAGCAGCTGCATCCAAGCCATACATCACCAAGTGCAATGCAAAGCGTCGGATGCGGTGGTGTAAAGCACGCCGCCACTGGACTCTAGAGCAGTGGAGACGCGTTCTCTGGAGTGACGAATCGCGCTTCTCCATCTGGCAATCTGATGGACGGGTCTGGGTTTGGCGGTTGCCAGGAGAACGGTACTTGTCTGACTGCATTGTGCCAAGTGTAAAGTTTGTTGGAGGGGGGATTATGGTGTGGGGTTGTTTTTCAGGAGCTGGGCTTGGCCCCTTAGTTCCAGTGAAAGGAACTCTGAATGCTTCAGCATCCCAAGACATTTTGGACAATTCCATGCTCCCAACTTTGTGGGAACAGTTTGGAGCTGGCCCCTTCCTCTTCCAACATGACTGTGCACCAGTGCACAAAGCAAGGTCCATAAAGACATGGATGACAGAGTCTGGTGTGGATGAACTTGACTGGCCTGCACAGAGTCCTGACCTCAACCCGATAGAACACCTTTGGGATGAATTAGAGCGGAGACTGAGAGCCAGGCCTTCTCGTCCAACATCAGTGTGCGACCTCACAAATGCGCTTCTGGAAGAATGGTCAAAAATTCCCATAAACACACTCCTAAACCTTGTGGACAGCCTTCCCAGAAGAGTTGAAGCTGTTCTAGCTGCAAAGGGTGGACCGACGTCATATTGAACCCTATGGATTAGGAACGGGATGTCACTTAAGCTCATATGTGAGTCAAGGCAGGTGAGCAAATACTTTTGGCAATATAGTGTATCTCTATAGTTAAGCTGCTATAGGCTTAGACTGCTGGAGGACATAGGCACCCCTATTTCATCATTCTGCTTCATTCTATCTCTATTCTCCCACTCTGCAGAATCTGTTAGTTCAATCTCTAACGTTCTGCTCTCTCTGCTTTTTCTAAAAGTAGATTCATCTGGTCTGTTCCTATTTGACTCCATTCTGAAGAGAAATATCCGCTGTGCTGCTGCCATCAACACCTTTGTTTCTAGATATTGGAGCTTGGTCTGTTTTTCAGTGTAGTCCTGTTTCTCTGTGACGTCGGTGTCTGCCTGGCTGTGTGTTTCCTGGACGGTGGCCGCCTGTGGAGCTAGTTGCCTTTTGTATACCTGCTTCTTTTTGTGTGTCTGCTTCTGTCTCCTCAAACCCAAGTCGGCCTTTGCAGAAGGCAGACTAGCCGTGTTTGCATTTAATCGAAATTAAAATTTTATCGCCATAACTGATGGCTTTCAGTAGAGGCTGCAATCTAGCATGGACAACAGATCAGTAATGGAGGAAACTTTTAGGGGGAAATCATTTAAAACTTTGTTTAAATAATCAAAATATATCCGTTTTAAAAGGCAACAGAAGTCATCTACATATTTCAAAGCATCTTAGTGTCTTTTTTTCTGTTAGTCTGACTGACCTTGAATGCAGCTCGGTGCTGCCGTTATTGTATTTGCTGCCTCGCTCCCACATGCCGTAGTCCGGCACCCTGTAGGCTCTCTCTACACAGAACACCAGATTCTGGATAAAGGAAACCTTTGAAGAAAAAACAAAACAAGAAACACAAAAAGGTTTAATATATATAACAGTACCTAACAGTGCTAAACACATACAGAGACACTGATTGAGCCAGAGCTGCAGGTCATAAACATGTTCCCAAATGGAAAACACATGATTTATAACCAGCGCTTACACCGATACAAACACACAGGACACGCAGACGCAAGAACAATGAAGGACCTTTGGTATTGATTTGGGATGAAGGATGTAAGGCTGATTACTGAGGTTAGCAAAGAGCAGGAGAAATCTGAGTTCTCATCAGCGCTCAAGGTGAAAGTCTCCCTGCAGCCACAGTCAAGGTTTAATTAAGTAATATAGTGTGCTGTTACTATACGTGAAGGTGTTGACCTTTTAGATGGCTGCAAGAGACACTGAACTGACCCGGTTCATAACACACCGACTTATTGCAAGATTTTAATTAAAGCGCTGATTTTAAAAACCTCATCAGCAGTTTCTCTAACTCTTTAATGAGGGAGCGGCAGGCCTGCCTTATATGTCTGACATGTTGGTCTTATTAAAGACATTTGGATATGTTTAGAAATGATGCCGGCTTATAGGGAGATTTGGAATGAAACTAAATGAACAAATCACAAAATCATTGTTATTTAAACCTTGACATATCTCACCTCATGGGATTTTGTCTGTAACCTGCTCCCCCCAAAAACAAGATTTCTAAGTTTGATGCATTTGATACATTAATCCTTTCAATTTTTCAAAGTATTTGTCCTGCATATCAGTGATATGGAAGAGGATCAGGGCCGCTGGGGAAAAAACAGTTAACTGATTTTTAAATTTTATTTCAGTTTAGTATGGGGAAAAAGTCAAAATTCTGACTTTAATCTCAGAATTCAGTCTTTTTTCTAAGAATTCTGACTTTTTTCCCCTCAGAATTCTGACTTTAATCTCAGAATTCTGACTTTAATCTCGGAATTCTGACTTTTATCTCGGAATTCTGACGTTTTTTTCCCTCAGAATTCTGACTTTAATCTCGGAATTCTGACTTTTTTTCTAAGAATTCTGACTTTAATCTCAGAATTCTGACTTTAATCTCAGAATTCTGACTTTTTCCTCAGAATTCTGACTTTTTCCTCAGAATTCTGACTTTAATCTCAGAATTCTGACTTTTTCCTCAGAATTCTGACTTTTTCCTCAGAATTCTGACTTTAATCTCAGAATTCTGACTTTTTTTCTCAGAATTCTGACTTTAATCTCAGAATTCTGACTTTAATCTCAGAATTCTGACTTTAATCTCAGAATTCTGACTTTAATCTCGGAATTCTGACTTTTATCTCGGAATTCTGACGTTTTTTCCCTCAGAATTCTGACTTTAATCTCGGAATTCTGACTTTTTTTCTAAGAATTCTGACTTTAATCTCAGAATTCTGACTTTAATCTCAGAATTCTGACTTTAATCTCAGAATTCTGACTTTTTTCCTCAGAATTCTGACTTTTTCCTCAGAATTCTGACTTTAATCTCAGAATTCTGACTTTTTCCTCAGAATTCTGACTTTTTCCTCAGAATTCTGACTTTAATCTCAGAATTCTGACTTTTTTTCTCAGAATTCTGACTTTTTCCTCAGAATTCTGACTTTTTTCTCAGAATTCTGACTTTTTTCTCAGAATTCTGACTTTTTTCTCAGAATTCTGACTTTAATCTCAGAATTCTGACTTTAATCTCAGAATTCTGACTTTTTTCCCATACTAAACTGAAATAACATTTAAAAATCAGCTACTTTTTTTTTCTTCCTGTGGCCCTATCCTGTTCCGTACAGTGATCCTTCCTTATTTCTGTCCATTTTATATTCATGCGTCTCTAATGACGAGACAGCAATACGTAAAAGCAGCCTCTTTCTTTTCTTGTTTGCAACATCTTTCTCCCCTGAGCTTTGAGGAAAGACACCTTCCAACTATAAGGAAACAGCAGCCAGAAAGAACAAGATGTTATAAAGTGTGATGACTTTCTGGTCTTGCATCATTAAAAAGACCTGAACGTGGCAGCGCAGGCATGTGTTCGTGACTGATGGGGGATTTAATCTAAAATGACAAAGTGAGGCAAAGAAAGACGAAGGGATGGAAAAGAGAACCTTAAATAGGTCAGTTTGCTAAAGGAGAGCAGGTAGAGAGAAGCAGGAAAAAAAAAAAAAAACAGATAAAGGTGTTTGCTGCATTTTTTATTTGGGGTTTTATGACTTGAATGATTAACGACGGGGGCTCTTTAGTATCTTAATGGTATCTTAATGAATGTTAGTGCCCACCGGCCAAACAAGCCTCTCTGTCTTAGTGCTGCTAGATTACTAATCCTGCTGCTTTTTGGGGCACGGCTGGAAAACATGGACACATTAAAGCCAAGCGCCTTTACTTCTAACCCTCTGTTGGTAAAAGCATTCATAGTAGCTTTTAAACATCCCAAACTTGAATGTGTTTATACAAAAAATAAAATAGTTTCATATGACTTTTGAATAAATGCTAATTATAAGTGTTAATTATCTACTTTCACATCTAGACACAAACAATATGTATAAATTCTAAACTGTTTTTAGGTTTGGGCTTAAACTAGGCCTTTTTTTAAATGAAAAACTTCTTTTTTACTTTAAACATATCATTATAGCTCTGAGAAGCGTGCTTATTGTGGTCGTCCTGCAGGAGGTTGAGCCTCAACTTCAGATTCAACAGGATTTAGTTCAATACACTGGAAAAAATTGAAATCTAGATAAGTAATTTTAAATTAAAATAAGTGCATTTATTCTTTAATGAGGAGGTAAAAGAAACATTTTGCCAATAGAACAAGACAATTTACACTTATAAGAAAACACAATTAAATTGTCTTATTTCAAGTGCATATTATCTAATTATCTTATATTAAGGGTAAAAAAAACTCATTCCGTTGGCAAATTATCTCATTTAACACTCAAATTAAGGGTGCATATACCTAATTTAAGAGATTTTTTTTTACTTATTTCTAGATCGTCTTTCCAGTGTAGCATCAACATTCCCCTCAGCTCCATTTTTAAAAAAGCATTCCCACAGCCTGATGCTGCCACCATGTTCCAATGTTAGGATGCCTTGGCGGTGATGTTTGATGTTGCTTTTCTCCCACACAGAGAAACCTTGTTAGGCTTACAGCTGATATATGCTCTTTTAATCATGAAAGGATGAAAATAAGCACTTCTGGAAAGATGCAAACTACATTTTGTTGCTTTGTGCTTGTGACAGTAAATGACAATAAAGTTTAATTCTATTATAATCTAAAAAAGGGCATGCGAGACGTTTAACACGTAAATGCACTGGTTCCAAAAGCAGGATGTGCGCCCCCTAGGGGGGACTCATTGTAATTATAAAGTGGACGTGGTAGATGTGAATGAAATAAAGGAGCAATTTTGATAGGAAATTTGTGAGAAGAAAAACGGAGGGTAATTTTGAATACTATTAAACACAAGATAATAACATTTTTTCTTTTTTTTAATAATTTAAATTTCTTTATTGAACCGGGTAAACCCCATTGAGATCTGGATCTCATTTTCAAGGGGGACCTGGGCAGAGATCTGCAACATTGAACTGTAAAAGTACAGTTTTTGTGATTGAAGGGAAGGATTTTATTGCTGCTGATCTTCCTTTGTTCAACTGTCAAAAACCATGAAACTTGGTCAGCCTTCGCAGTTTAAGCCAAGATCCATTTAGAAATATGTGCACTCTATTTAATAACCGGGCGATTTTTGAAAGGAGTAAGTTGCGCTGATTTTGTTTAAAAATAGACGAAACAGACAGAATATCGACACAGAGCCCATCATCAGGATTTATTTTTTACTTTTTCAGTATCCCACACAACACAACAACTCTTTGTATGCATCTTGCACTACTCACTTTGACTGATTATTAATTTGCACTGCCGACTGCTTATTCACAGCACCAATTGTTTACATTTACATCTGCAATAACGTACTTTAACTGTAATATGCAATTACCTTCCACTGCACTTTAATTTACATAGCTTTTGGCCAAACTCTATTTATTCATTTTATAGTAAAACCCATCTGTATATTATGCTATTGTACATAACTGTAAAAACCTTTTTTTAATATTAATATCCATCTGTATGTTATATGCGGTACATATCCAGCTGTAAATTTAGCTCATAACACTAGTGATCTATATATTATATTCATTATTTATAATAGTATTCATCTCTATACTCATTCAGTAGAACCCATGTCCTGTATTTATGGAACCATTATTTATCCTGCACTTGCTGCTATTGCACTTCTGGTTAGACCTAAACTGCATTTCGTTGCCTTGTACATGTGTAATGACAATAAAGTTGAATCTAATCTAAAATCCATGTTGGACCATTTTAGCGTGAACTCTTTTGCAAGGAGACTGTGATGCACGTAAACTAATGACTCGCAGCATTTCATGCAGAGGGAGACTGAAAATGACATCTGGCAGGAAGTTGATGGCGTGTCTTTTCTTCGGAGACGCGCAGAGCCTTTCTTTGCAATTACTAAAATACTGCAATGCAGCTCCGGAGTCTAGAGAATTCCAATAGACATCAAGAGCAGTGACAGCTTACAACCAGCTAATAAATACGGCACTAATGTGATTAGACTGAGTGAAATACATTTCAAACAGCTTTCAGTGGGACCACCAATCACCAAAGCCCCTGCTCAGTGGATCTGATGTTTGGTAATGCAAGGTTTGGGCTGCGGGAAGCTTCAGTTGGAATTATGCAATTTGGTAGGAGCTGTTTAACCATGCAGAGAAGGCCGGACTGCCCTCGGAAAAATAAAACATGGCATCGTTAATTTGTTTTTGTCGGTGGTAAGAAAGAGAGAATATAAGAGGTTACCAAGGTGAGCTGTGTGTGTGTTCGGGGGACTAAACAAAACGAAGGCAGCATGCACTAATTGCTCAGCGGTATAATATTCGACCAAGCTTCTATTTTCTTCAGATAAGCTCAATTTGGTAAACAAATGGATTTC